CTTGGGTGATGACTCTTCTTAGACTCCTGGAGCACAGCATCAAACTCAGCCATCAGCTCCACAATTTTAAGGACATTTCCATTGTTTGGCACATACAGCTGAACTGAAGTGCCACACAGTGCTAGGTTTTGGGTAGCAAGCATTTTCACAATGGCAATGAGCCTTTTCAGAACATTTTGCCAGTAAAGAGGCTCTGATGCAATCTTCTCTTGATGCTGATCATCTATGGTGGCCTTTAACCTTAGTCTCATCTCAAGCTCTTTCCACCTACGGAATGCTCTCTGGTGATTTGCTGCCTTCTCATGGCATGCCAGATTTCTAGCCAGATTTTTCCCGTCCTTTGTTCCTGTAGAACCCAATGTGGCTGGAACATTAGACTGGAAGAGTTTTCAACAAAAACAGTGTACAGCATTCTGGGTTTTTGAGTACATAAGCTATGGCCTCTCACCATTGGGGATTTCACGTCAGTAATGTGTTGGATGGAAACTTCTGTTTTCATTGTCTATGGGGAACATGAGGTTTTTCACTTGCTGTGGCCCATGCAGTACAAGGAAGTCCCTCAGGCTACTGCTCAAGTGGGTCTGCAGTTCTGGATCATCTAGACTTAAGGAACTAAACTCTCCTGGAGATGCTAGAGAGGTACATAAGAGGATCCTCCTCCTCTCTCTCCCTGCAGCTCCTGCTGCTTTCTATTATTCCCTCTCACCTTTTCTCCTGCCTGCCTGTTATGTCTCTTGTGCCCTCCTTCCTCCAGCACAGCACTTCACCATCTCTGTGCATCTAGAGCAGAGAGAATACATATGCACCAGCAACAGACACAATTTTCTACACTCTGGGCCCTAGTGGTGCTCCCCCCCCCCCCCCACTGTCTGGCACGTGAGGTGGCCACCTCAGTTCGCCTCATGGTAAGGTCAGCCCTATTAGAGCAAGTCCAATTTAAAAGCCGGGTGATCAATCCTTCCAAACCTTGCAGTCCTTACTGAACAAAAATCACCACTGACACCAGCTTTGACACTAGAGGAATCCCGCCCCTGCATGTTTGCAAAGCTCTCAGAAGTGACTATCAATATAAATGAATTGACATACCAAACTCCAGTCGATAGCCAAGTAATTTCTCCAAACCTAAACACATGCAGGGAAGAAAATGTGTGTGTGTGTGTGTGTGTCTTATAAATAACTTGTGGGTTGGGAAAAGTGAGAGAGGCTCATTTCAGATGAATCACTTAAATCAACTACACAAACAAATCGCCCTCCCCCCCATCCATCCATAGCGTCAGAAGCTAACTGCCCAGGGGATTCATACGCTCTATTTAGGAAGGGTCTACGTGGAACAAAGATCTTGGTGCCGAGAAATGCTGAGTTAGGGTGCTGGGTGGGAGAAGGATTTGGTTTGTATATAGAGAGAAATAGCAAAAGTCTGAAAGAACTTAGACCTCACGGGGGAAAGGGAAACCCTGGCCCCATCGAAATCAATGGGATTTTTGTTATTGACTTCAGTGGGGCCAGGCTTTCACTCATGGATTTTCCCTAAATGGAGGTAGAAACCTCAGGGGCTGGCTGATGAAAGTCAATGGCATTTATTTCCTTCGAGCGGCAATCAGATGAGCAAAGGCAATGGTTCTTTCAATATAAGACACAGGAGAAAACTGCAGCATTCAGGCCAGTAACAGCTTGCCCCCTCTCACGACGTTCTGTTTCGCGGTCCAATAACCAGACACCGCAGCTACATCCCGGGAAACCAGAGCTACGCCCTGAGGAATAAGCTTTAGAAACGACTCCCCCATAGATACTGATGGGGCTTGTTCTGGAGACCGATCCATTCCGTCCGGGTTTGTTTTAACTCCGGATGAGAAAAGGCAGCAGCGGGCAGGGCCGACTCTAGGTTTTTTGTGGCCCCAAGCAAAAAATTGCGCAACTGCCGGAGCAAAAAAAAAAAAAAAAAAGGGCGGGGGGAGGGTGGCCGGAAGGCCGCCCCTGGAATTGTGCCACCCCAAGTACCTGCTTGCTTTGCCGGCGCCTGGAGCCGGTGCTGGCAGCAGGAACGTGAGGAAGAGGGTCTTTGCCTTTGATCTAAAAAGAAAAGGTGGGCCTGGTAGCCAAAGGGACTTTTGGTCACGGGGCAGGATCGGGTCCCTTGCGGGAAAACAGGCTTCCTGCCCAATGGTTTAACGAGGCAGCAGTAGCCAGAGATGGCCCCGCTCAATTTGCGGCTCAGGTGTAACTGGAAAGGGGATTGACAGGGCCATGCTGATTTCAGCAGCTGAGGCAGATTCCCTCGGGTGAGGAGTTTACAGTACACAGAGTCCTACCGCCGAGAACTGTTTTCACTGTAGATAACAATTATTTAAAGTCAATCCCATTCAGGGAACACTCACTTTTAATTTGTTTATTTTGCGTTTATAGAATAACCTCCTTCCCCTCTCCCTCCCCTCTCAAGTCCGCTGGCTTCTGCTGACAGATTTCTATGCTTTGCTCGCTGAAACGTATACAAAACTCACGGCGGGATTGCTTCTAAATATTTGAGATGACCAACGATCGCCCTTTATAATCATCTGGTGCATGTGCCTCTAACCTGCACACAGCTGTAACAAGAAAATACAAACAGGTATTATTTTTTTTTAAAAAGGCAACGTATAGAAAATGTAAGTGTTCAGACCCAAACAAAAGCCCTAATGAGATCACCCCGCGATATTTAAAGGGCCCCCCACTTGTTAAAATAAAAGCTTATTTAAAGCAATTCTTCACTTGTAGCTCGCGCCTCAGCTGTTGCTGATACTTCCCCCTTCAGTATTTGTGTCCACCCTTTCCAAGGTGGGAAGACATGAGCGTACGGAGAAACAATGGTTTTTCTCCAGGCGCAGATGGACAGTTGCTCCCCTAAAGAGGGCTAAAGGTGATGAAGATGTTCTCTGTCCCTCCACGAGGCTAGAGCCCGGCGGACAGAGGAACCGCTACCCAGCGGAGTGTGAACGTTCCAGACACAGAATCTCCAAACACATTTCACAATCTAAACAATCACCCATACGTCATAAGAAGAGATGCAAAAATCTAAGAAAAAACCGGATCGACGTGACTCACTAAGGTTTGAAAGCCCGACTTAGTAAGGCCAAGTTTCTGATCTATCTAATGCAGATGTTGCCTATATACGCGCCGTTGGTACATATACTGATGACAGGATACGCCTGTATGTTTATATTATATAAGAAAACATATTACCTACACACACCATGCAAAGGGGAATATTTATCAGAGTATTTATGTCACAAGCAGTTTCCCTGCGAATATTTTCATCTATATCATTCTTTTCGATCAGCGCATTGTTGGAGAGTTTGATTCCATACAATTGTTTTCCTGGTCACATGGTGGATAAAGTTAACTTCTGGATAAAATTGCTAGTTCTGAGGATAGCCTGACATCCAAGATAATCAATACTTCTATATTTTTACCTTCCCTCGGCTCCAATTTTTATCTTGAGAAGCAACGCCACTTTAAAATATTTCTGGCACAACCGAAACTTTCAAATAATCATTTAATCATTAAGTTTTGAACGAAACAAAGCTGTCTGCCCTCTCCTCCTGAAAAGTAGCATCAGAAATGAAGCAACAATAGAAAATTACTCTGGACGATGATATTTGTTGGGGAATATTATTGTTGTGACAATTAAGTGAAGAAAACGTTCAAAATAAATGCACAGTATAACTACCCTTATTTCTAAATTGCACAGCATAATAAAACACGATTCTGTTTTATTTTCTGATTTTAAAGGCCATTACCAATCGTACTGAATGCAGCTAAAAACCCCTAACCCCATAAGGAAAATGTGATATTAGTTTGGATATTTTAAATTGGGTTTGATCTTGATGACCGCACTGCCTATAACGAGACAATCTCACTTCCCGGCGCCTTTTATTTATTATTTGTAATCATAATGCTGGCTATGATTTTCCTCTCTTTTGACCTCATGAAAAATTCCCCTTTACCCATGTGTTTACAATACAGGGGGTACGCCTAGTGTTTGCAGGTCTGAAGGATAAACAGCGGCTTTCACACACCTCCCGGCTTGCGGAGGCTGGACACATTATAATCACACAGGCGGACAGACACAGCCAGGGGCGGAGATTGGAGAGAAGAGGGAGGGAATCGACGGCCCGTAGTGCCAATCAGAACTCTCTCCGCCCTACAACCCACCAATCAGCTGTCCGGGCGCCCCAGAGCTGGAGCGGATAATACAGTGGGGCGAGTCGGGCTGGGCACCGCACGGAGGGGAGCAGAGAGGCGGGTGCTGGCGCTGTGCTGTTAAGGCCTGGGGTGCTGAAGACAAATGCACCCCAACCCTCCCTTGCATAGCTCTCTCCCTCGAGCCTGATAAACCACCACAGCATCTCAGCCCCGCCAGCCCCTGGCTTCGGCTCCCGCCGCTCGCCCATCGCTGGCAGGCGCTGCCGTGTCCCTCCCTGGCCCGTCCCAGCCTGCAGAAGTGACTGCCCCGCACCGAGCCGCGATGTGTCGGGGCTGCTGAGGAGCTGCGGTCCCCCACACCCCCGGGCTCTGTGCTGCCCCGGGTTCGGTCTGCGCCCAGCCACTCCCGCGGGGCTGGATGCGGGCTGCGTCTGCGGCCGGCCTCGGGCTCTGAACTTCGGTAAGTGCAAAACCCGGGGGTTGGAGATGTGCGGGCTGGGCTGGGCAGAGGCGAAGGAACCTGCCTGCAGTGCAATCTCTGCCGCGGTGAAACTAACCCGCCCCCGCCCGCGGATGGCCCCTAGCACTCTGTGAAGGGGCTGGGGCGTCTGCATTCCCTGGCGGAGCGTGTGCTTTCCACGTTAAGAAGTCATTTAACCGCCAGGTTTCCCCATAGATTTGTTCTAACCCTCATACACCAGAGGGAGGAAACCAGGAAAACTCTTCCGACCTTGCAACCCGCTGGCTGCTGCCAGCCCGACCGCCCGTGCTGCGCTTGGCCCACCGGAATGAGGAGTCTTGGAAACGAGCCCCTAGACCCCTTCCTTCTGCCCTTCCACGCCGATCCTGCGTTCGTTGGGCGAGCAAAATCCCCAGGGAGGTTATCGGGAGTTTCGGATGTTCAAGGAATGCAGGTTCGGGCTCTGAACCTACAGCTTCGCCAAACATAAGGGTACAGGCCCAAACCAATAGATAGCGAAAGGGGAAAGCCGGGAAGGAATGCGCGTCGCGCTGAGACTTCCAAACCTGCAGCTCGCAATAGACAATAATGCCGTGAGGCGGGCGTGTTTGCAGCGTGACTGAAGTGACATCCCTATGACCCCAGGTGGTGGTGTGTGTGGGTAACCCCGGCAAGGCAGCGCTGGGCGGTGTGCGTGACCCGGGAGAAATCTGACATCAGTGTGTCGGTAAGGACTTGGTGCCGAGTGTGTAGCGATGTGTGATCGATTAGACACGCGTGCAGAAAGGCCGTGCGTGTGGCTCGCGGGCAGCGATGTGACCGGCGTGCAGGAAGGCCTGATGTCGGCACAGACCCTTGCACGACCCCGTCCCAGGGCCAGCCCCACACACGATGCGCGTGTCAGGTGGGTGTGCGGGGCCAGCCGTGGGACGGGGTGCAGGGCGGGACCCCCGGGCGTGGGGCAGGGCCTGTGCCGGACTCCGTGCGGGGGATGTAATCAGCGGGCCGTGCCCGCCGGGCCCTGCTTGCGGCGGACCCGGAGCCTGCTAAGGGCAGCGCGTGGCGGGGTTTGTGTTTTGCAGCGCGGAGCGGCAGATCCGGGCGGTGCCATGGCCGAGGGGCAGGCCGCCTCCGGGGCCGACTGGGAGATCGACGTGGAGAGCCTGGAGCTGGACGAGGGCGAGGAGCGGCTCGGGGCCTGCCTGCTGCAGGGCGGCGGCCCGGGGGAGCAGGAGGACGAGGAGGAGGAGGAGGACGAGGAGGAGGAGGACGGGGAAGAGGAAGGGGCGGCCCCGCCGGCCCCTAGCCAGCCCAAGCAGCAGCAGGCGGAGCGGGGCAGCGGAGGGGAGCAGAGGAAGCTGAGCCGGACCCCCAAGTGCGCCCGCTGCCGCAACCACGGCGTGGTGTCCTGCCTGAAGGGCCACAAGCGCTTCTGCCGCTGGCGGGACTGTCAGTGCGCGAACTGCCTGCTGGTGGTGGAGAGGCAGCGGGTCATGGCCGCCCAGGTGGCGCTCCGGAGGCAGCAGGCCACTGAGGTGAGGAGGGGGGCGAGGGGGCAGCGCCCACCACCCCTGCGCGAACAGGCGACCCCGCCTGCAGGGGCGCCGCGGTGTGGGGGCCGCCATCCCCTTCCTAGCAGCGCTCCGGGGGAGCAGGCCATGTGGAGAGGTCTCCAGAAAATCGCAGCCGTTTCCAATGATTAATACAGATTTGCTCTGCCATCTGTGCAATTGACTAGTCAACACCAAAGAAGGTAGATGGTGGCATCTGTTTTATCCTGACTGGGACGCAGGCATCATCTTGACTCCGCTGAAAAGGAGCAGGGAGATTTTTTCCCCCAGAGCCTAAGTGGGGAGGTAGTTGGTCATTTCCCCAGGCAGTTAAGTGCAGTGAGATTTACAGATGTGGTACTTAGTGAACCTGGGTAAAGAAGTGAATGGGATGAGAGATCCCAGGCGGTGGAGGCTGTCCGCCGCGGGAGAGGGGCTCACTCCTTTCAAAAGGAAGAAATTAATTACTTGTAGCAGAAAAAAACCCCTAGATTCGAGGCGGTACTCCAATAGGTATTCACGCAGGATGGCAGAGATCCTAGCAGAGTCTCCTCTCCTGGGAAGTGACAGCTGTCCACAAACTATAGCAAAGGGCTCCCTAGTTTTGGAAAGAGACAGCGTGTTATTTGCCCCAGCCCTGTACTTCTGTAACGAAGCACTGAGAGTAACTCTGGGATTTGAATCATTCATGAAGATGTGACTAACCTTTGGATGTGACGAACCACCGCGCATCGAGATTTTCAGAAACTAGCTTGCAAGATGCTTTGCTAGAGGCTGAGTGCTTAGACGTGGCTGGGGGAAACTAGCAAAACTGTCAAGAAAAAAAACAACCCTGTTCGGTAGTTCGCAGCGTCACTGAAGGAATGATTTGTATGTTATTATTAATAGTTATTTTAAGGGGTGGTGCCGGTGAGCAATTATTAAAATTTGATCTAGCACATTGTCACTACCATGTTTCAAGATGCAAATTCCAGGGACTCGTTTTGTAATATATGGCGTAGTTTTAAGGGGCAGTGTAATTCAGCATCTTCACCGCGTTGCCGAGGAGAAGCTGGAAGTAAATGTGCTCTCTCAATAAATTCGTTACATTTATGGGCTCGTTGCTAATCAAGACCTCCTATAAGAAAATCAATGTGCGCAAATATTCCAGAATTGCTATTCCCCATCTTTACCACACTCTCTGATCTACATCTTCCTTTCCCTCCAGAGTATTTCCTCAGGGTTTTGGAACGGTTGGTTTTCAGTAATCATTTTTCATTTAAAACGAGGCTTTTTGTTTCTTAGTATTAAGCGATCGGCTGGTCTGACAGTGATGCAGAGCTGTGAGCCGTTCCGATTTTCACTCGGATCTAACCTTCTCTTTTGAGTGCCGGTGCTCTGTTATGTCTACTCAAACTCCCGGGCTCTGATCACAGAAATAGGTTTAGATGCTGCTTAAAAAATATCACCCTTGCTTCTCTTTCCTATTGACATTCGCTCACCCCGGCCGTTTTGCGTCACTTTCTGTTTTGTTTATCCGCACTTAAGGCAGATTCTGTATAACAATAAAATCCGATCCCTCCTTTTGCAAGCCGGAGAGTGACATTTTGATTCTTTTGAATCCGTTCTTTTAAAACGAGCAGAGCGGAAAATAAAATTTCCTTAAGGAAGGAAACGCCCATTGTCCTGTTTATTGACCGTTTTCTTCTCTTTTCTCTTGCTAGGATAAGAAGGGGCTAACAGGGAAACAGGCTAATTTTGAGCGCAAAACAGTCTACCAGAGGCCTGTCAGGACACCCAGCTTGCTGGCCAAAAGCATTTTGGAAGGTAAAAACTCCCATGCATTCTGACCTTTATGAGCAACAGACATCTGAACTGTAGGAGCTGCTGAAACAACTACTCAGATTTCCATGTGCTATTTTGGAAAAAAACAAACAAACAGAAAACAAAGTGTCTTGCATAATGCTAAAAAATCTAAAGTAAAACAAAAAAATACAAAAGTATTTGATGGCTCCCTACTACAGAAGATCTCAGGATTTACACTGTCTGTGCAAATTAAAAGCTTAAGGAATTCTCTCTGTTTTAGAAAAGTTTCTCATTACAGAATTAAGAAAAAAGGCTAAATATCATGCAACAGATTAGAAAAATAAACACTAATTCTACTAATTATTTACTAATATTATTTAAAGGGAACATGATTATATTGAAGACATTTTTCTTACTCTGCAGTACATGTGGAGTGCATATACACCAGTAAGCATGATGTACTGTTGCCTCAAATCTCTGCACATCAAGAATATATTTTAAAATTTTAGACTCTAGCAAATAATTGTTTTAGAACATAAAATAGTTCCCCTCCCTTTCAAATGAGATCTCCCAGTACATTTTCTTGTATGTTTGTTTATTTGTATTTTTGGTTAGGATGGAGATGCAGGAAATATGATCAGGCTGCTTGTTATGAAACAAAATTGCACCAAAGTATTCTAGAAACAACAAATTGAAATGTAGGATAATTTTTAGTGTAAAAATGAATGTACGTAAATAACTACCTGGCAATGATTGACAGTGCAGAAGATTTTATTGTTTCATTTTATTTGTAAATGAATGCAATGAACTTGACCTTTTGTAAATATAAAACGTAATGGACTTTTCAAACAAATTTGATATACATTATTTTGTGCTGCCAGAAAAATATTATTTATAGTACAATACCATTTTAAGGTAAATATTTATTAAATAAATAAATGTTTTAAAGGGCTAATTCTTGCTTTTTTCAGTATCCTATAACTTATACCCAAAATTGTTTATATGGCCATTTTGGTTACTTTTCAAGTGATTAGAAATTAGAAAAAAGACATGAAAATGATGAAGTCCAGTTCTTTTAAGCGATATCTTCTCTTTACCTGCATAAGTTAGAAAGAAAGTTTGGCCAGATACTTAAGTGATTTTGGCCAGATAAGAAAACTCTTTCCAGGTTACTTTCTTCTGCAATTCATTCTTTAAAAAAGAATCTCTTCCACATTCTTTTCCCTAAGCTATCTTAACTTTCTTTTTCTTTTCTCCTAGCTCTCCTTGGATTTTTCTACCATCTGTAACAATGTGTTACAGATAATGATTCATCTTTAGAAAATAGAAATGGCATCAGCTATAGGTATAGATATCTTCTTTGGCAATGGGGAAACCAGTGTGAGATGAATGGGAGTGAAAAGGGGCTAAATCTTGTTCTCCTTACTCATGTAAGTAGTTCCATTAACTTCAATGGGATTATTTGTCTGGGTACAGCAAACAGGATTGGGCCCGGTATATTATATTAAGTGAATCTAATTCGTGTGGTCTCCTAATTGAAAATATTGCAATTTTAAGTAATTTGTATTTTTTTCTTAGTTTCGAGAAAGTAAAATAATCTAAATAATTTAAATTTTCACTTTTTAAAAAGCAATTTTAAACGGATGAATGAAATTCCAGCAGAACAAGTAACATAGAGCAGTAAATCCCTGCTCACTTTGAGCCCAATCTGACTGCTGTTGACTTCAGTAGGAGTTGGATTGGGCCCTTTGTGTAAGTAATCCTGTTGTCTTCACCAGAACTACTTACCTGAGTAAGATGAGCTGGATTTGGCCCTATATATGCTGGAAGCATCTATATAATACACGGGCTTGGCTGTGCAACGTGCTGAGCACTTCCAGCAAGGTGACTTACTTGGGAGTTGAGGGCATTCAGGATTTTCCAGGAAGTGCTTAGGTCCTTGCAGGATTGAGCGCCACATTAGCATTCCTGTCCTTTTACAAACACTGCAGGTAGGTGATCCTATTTTAGTTACTTTAATTTATTCATATCCATACCTTGTTGTTTTAGGTTATCGCCCCATGCCAGCAGATCCTTACCTGGGAGGGAATTCACCTTTACCACCCCCTGTAAGTGACAGGATGAGGAAAAGACGGGCCTTTGCTGATAAAGAGCTGGAGAACATTATGTTAGAGAGAGAGTATAAAGAAAGGGAGATGATGGAAGCCACTCAAGCTGCTGCCCTTTTCCTGCCTAACCATATGGTGCATGGAACTGAATACAATTCCTACAAAACTGCCTTTAACCCTACCCAGGTTGAAGCTCCTAGCAAGGAGTTTTGCAACTTCTTACCAACCTGCCTTGACCTAACCATGCAGTATTCAGGATCTGGGAATATGGAACTGATTTCTTCAAATGTCAGTGTAGCCACTACCTACAGGCAATATCCCTTGTCCTCCAGATTATTGGTATGGCCAAAGCGTGGCCCCATTAGTGATGCTTTTCTCTACCAGCAATGCCTACTGAATGCTACTGCAGTCCAAGCTCTCAAACCTGGGGCAGCCTGGGACTCCAAGACTTCACAAAGCCAGGATTGTGTAAATTCAGAGCAGGAGATGATGTCACCAAAAACTGAAAATTCACTTGTGCTTTCTCATGCTCGAGAAATTCAGCATGTCCCTCAGGAGGCCCGTGAGAGGTCTGCTTTCTCTCCTCCTAAAAGGACTTTTCCACAGATTTCTGAGAAGGATTCTCTGGCTTCTCAAGAACACATCTTAAGCAAGATCAGCAAAGAAAATACCAAGCATCCTCACACACTCAAGTATAATCCGTTCCACTCATTTTTACAGCAAACATTTCATGACAAATCGGGGCCTGAGTTAAAAACATCGTTTGTAAAAGAGAGCTTTGAAGAGACATCTAAGAAGTACAGAGAGTGCTCCATCAAAGAGAACCAAAAGTACAAATTTACAATAGACAGATACTCAAAAGACTTTTTTGGGGCCAAACAAGCTGCAACAAAACTCTCAGCAAATGAGCCTCTATCATTCTCTGTTGAATCAATCCTTAAACGACCCTCTTCTGCAGTCACTAATGTCTCGCAGTAACTGCATCTTCAATGTCAAGTTTAAATGTTTGCCATCTGCAAAGTTGCTGCCACCTGCCTTTTCTCTCCAAAGATTTGTACAAAGGAATTTGTTATGTAAATGGTGATTTTAAAAAAAACCTGTGTACATAAATATGCATGTTTTCTCTCATGAAAATAAATATTTAAATTTTAAAAATGAAAACGGTGCATGTGCAGACTGTAAAGTGTAGGCTTTATACAGCACTTCAAACGTTACAATAAAATGAGATGACTTATGAACATCCCTGTTCTTTGTCATGCCAAGAGGACATTATCACTTCTGCCTTATGTCTCTCTCCCTCCACAGAATGGGTATCCACCCACTTGCAGAACATGCGTATGCTATTGTTCGCTATTATAGAAAGGGTAATTATTTGCTATGCTGCAGTAACTCATCTCTGATTTGTATCCATACTAGCGTGCAGAACAGGCAACAGCAGTGCAAGTTTACCTGCTAAGATGCATCGAAGGCATCTTTCCACTGATTTCAATGGGCTTTGGATCAGGCTCCAACTGTCAGTGCAGTCCTGATAGGATAAACCTCCTGGGATGAGAGAGTCGTTTATTCTGGGCCTCTCTGTTGAGACTGGCATCATTCAAGCAAGTTTTGAAGTGTGGCGATAGGGACAATGGGAAGAAAGATGGAAGAATAGGAACATTCAGTGACTCTTTTAAGTGTTCTCAGATAAAGGTCTGCTCTTGTGTCAAATGGGCATTAAAATCTCCCTCAGGCTCTTCACGGACTTGGAATATCTAATTTCCTAAAACTTTTCATTTCTGACAATCACAAGCTAGACTAGATATTTGTGCCACCTTCAATGAAATGAACTTTGGGGTAAAAAAAAAGTTTCATAGAATAATAGCTACAAAATGAAAATTAAGGTATAAAATTAAGAGGAGATATTATATCTTTCAGTCCTTTTGTAGTCAATGAAAAGAAAGTTAGGCTGGTAGACAGAGTTCACCTCAGCCTGAAGCCTCCTTCAGGTTGTGGAAAACTTTACCTATTAACTTTGATTTAACTTAACAGACTTTTTAAATTTTTTTCCTTATTTTGCTATTTTTTTCCCTATTTTACCATCAGCTAAGCAGAATTAGCTTTTGTTTTCCTGTTTTCTATACACACTAATTTTAATCCTATCAATGTGTTTACATAGTCCTAGGTGATACTAGTTTGTTTTATCATCTAAAGGTCTAGTAGCTGGGTGAACAAATGGAAGTGGACAGATTAGGTCACAAATTCTGAGTAACGAGCGATTTTTGTGAATTTTGTTCACTATTCAGAAGTGTTTGGTGATTATTTTTTCCTGAACAAATCTCAGCCCATAGATTGTAAATGAACTGACTACTGTGAGTATTTCTTCAGGTATTTGATATTTGAGTTGTGTGAGTAGTGTCACTTAGATCATCCAACCATGGAATAGAAAGTCTCTGATGTGACTTAACCTTCATAAATTACTTCTGTGTGGCTATCTTCAGGTTTTATACTGTTGCCCATCACGGGAATATCTGAGCTCTTTGTATGTAAAATCAATAGTAACAGCAAAGTCTGCCTTTGCCTGACACTAATTTCATTGAGTAATAAAACCAAATGTTTTGTGATTTATCTTGGCCACTGGTTCAAAATTCACTTTCCATGAACATTCATAGAAATAATACTTTGCTTGTGTGAATGTTAAATAAAAAGGGGTGTGAACACAATGAAAGCAAAATTGTATTTGAAGGTGCTTGAAATATTCATAACTGCTTTTTCTGACTCTGTCCCTGATCCAACTCCCATTTAGGTCAATGGAAAGACTACCACTATCTTAAATGGGAATTGGATCAGACCTTATTTGCCCAGATCTAGTCCCTAGCTATCTGTGAATCCACATCCACTCTGAATCATACCAATCTTACAGTTTTGCCTATGTATAAGGCTCCTCACTTTTCATGTTTCATGGTTTTATTACCATGGCTTCATTCTTTGGTGGTGGAGGTTACGGAGCATAAAATGCTAATGAAGACTTTAAATTTACTATACATTTAATATATTTCCTTTGTTACTAAAATTCTGTTTGATTTATTTCTCAAGCTGCTGGCATGAACTGTGATGATAGATGTGGGAAAACCAGAAGTCCAACTAGTAGACCAGTTCTGGACTCTGGGAATTTGTCCTGAATAAATGTCTTGTTGCTTAACAATGCATGTATCTAACTTTGTTCAGCTTAATATCGGTAATCTTTTTCCAGGAAATTAAGCACCTTAATTTATCTTTGGAAAAAAATATAAGACCTCGTGACCCCTTTAAAGAGCCAATTGAGTTGAATAATTCCATGTCCAAATTCTGGGACAATTCCAAATTCTAAAATCTATATTCCAGATAATTTTTTTCAGAGCACAGTAATTGGGAGGGGAATGGCATTTTTATTACTTCTAACCAGAAATGTGATCCTTGAGACAAAACTGGGCTAAATCATGTTTGCTCGGCTGCAGAAGTAGTCCCACTAAAGTCAAGATTTGGCCCTCTGTCTGATCATTGTCCTTTTCATTTAGTTCTTTAGGCTTTATTAATTAGCTTGTCTGGTACTCACATTTTCTTTTCTTTTTCTTTTGTAATCCCTAGGTTTTCATGAAACGATGAAAATCTTTTATGCAGCTTAAAAGTTCATCACTCCCAGCTCTGTTTTCCTTTCTTTAAAACCTTTGCGAGTCTATTTATTGCTCATGGAAAGAAAGGCTTAATAGCGTGAGGCGTGTGTGTAATGCATATGTTGCCATGTAAGCTTCCACACACAGCTCTGCTTGACCAACAGCATTCCTGCTCTTTTAGCCCTGGACCTCTCTTGAGCAGAGGCTGCCAATGGTGTCCACTTGTGTGATGGTCTGGTGATGTGAACTGATGGAGAGCAGGTCAGGACCATCACTGTTGCTTTCAGTTGTGACCAAAACTGGAATTTGAACCCTGGCCCCCAGATGAAAATGTCTGTTGCATTGACTAATGGCATTACCGGCTCTCATCCTGCATCCATTTTTCTATTCAACCTTGTGATATGTCAGCTTTTAAAATAATACACACTGCTATTTTGGATATACTTTCTATATTATTTACTTAGGTGTCAGCAGTCACAATCCTATGTATGTGAACACCTGAACCCAGATCCAGTCCTTCAGTAGGAATCCACTGCTTTTTCTGCAGTTTCAACCATACATTATTTGTACTTTACTCAGCTTCTTCTGAGCGGGCCTCTGGTTTACTCCCCTCTAACCTGAATTCTTTTCGTGCAGCTGTGGAACATGGTTGCAGGGGAGCTCAGTTTAAGAACTGAGGCCAGGGGTTAATAACCTACATTTGTGTTTGTTTTTAAACATAAAAATGTTGTTTGCCGTGGAAAAGAACAAAGTACAGTCATGCACGGCCCCTGCAAAAGTAGCAAGAAGATCCTTGCAGATCCGGTTGCCAGAAAGCACAAAACCACCTGCTACTAGTGTGGGACTCTGCACTCATAGCTCGCAAGAAGAGTGGACTCATTTGTAATAAGAGGTGGAGGATCTAGAGAGACTACGAAGCTATAGTACCCCCAAAAGAGCTCTGTGCATGTATTCCTTGCTCAACACTTCTAGCTTGCTGGTCTGGTGTCAAGGCATAGGCATCTGTGATACTGGCTCAGCACCTCTGCGTTACTGCACTTACGTCAAGGTGCAGACCTCTGAGTTTGCTGGATCAGTATTTCTAGCTTACCATAAAGTACAAGCTTTTGTGAATGCTCAGATTTCTACATGGTCTCTGGCTCAGCACATCAAGCTTCCTGGGCTGGCCCAGACATTTGTATGGTGCCTGGCTAATTAGCTGTAACTTACTCATCTGATATTGAGACTCAGGGCCCTGTGAAGTCAGTAGCTCAACAGCGTTAGCAGGCTGGGCTGATGTCCAGGCACAGGCCCCAGTGAGGCTAGTGACTCACTACTTCTTTGCTGCAGGGCTTATGCTAAGGCACAGACCTCTTTGAGGTCTCTGGTTCAGGCCCTCTGGCTTTCTGGGACGATGATACTAAGGCTATGGCTACACTAGAGAACTTACAGCTGCGCTGCTGAAGCACTGACGGGCGAGAGCTCTCTGGTCAACGTAATTAAAACACAGCCAACGAGTGACCATAGCTATGCAGCTCTCCCAACAACACAGTGCTATCCACACCAGTGCTTAGGTCGGTGTAACTTACGTCGCGTGGGGGGTGGCTTATTCACAGCGCTGAGCGACATACGTTATATCGACTTAATTTGTAATGTAGCTGGCCCCTAAGACTCTGACCTGGGTGAGTTTAGTGGCTCAGGAGCCCTAACTTGGGCTGCTGCGAAAGGACGGGTGCCTGTGAAGTTACTGTCTCAGCGGAGCTCACGCTCATTAGTACTTTGTCGAACTCGCTAATTAACTCAGAGCTAACAGCAACTATCATTCCATTTCTTTATTCTAACCACAGTGCAGCTTACCTTCCCATCTTCCCATTTGGATTTGTCAGCTTGTTTTAACAAATCAGTTCTTACACAAATGCTTTCCACTCATCTGACCTTGATGTGATAAATAACTACTGGGAATCCTTGCTTTCTGCTGGCTGTATCATCAGCTTCTTTTCCCACTGAATTTTTGTCAGCAGAACAGCATACAGTGAACATAAATATCTCCTTTCAAATCAGGTACCTGTCGGCCACTTTCCATTTGATTGTACTGATACTAGGACAAACACGACTTAAGCAAGAATGGCCAATAGGGAGAGCCTGTTTTGGTGAGTAGTAATCAATGGACAGAATAGTGTAACTGGGGGGCCCAAAACTCAGCTAGTCATTCACTGGTAGGAAATGTCCCTCCTGGAGATAGTAATTGCTATTATAAATGGAGAAAAATGTGTCCCTTTTATGGAAATTTTACCCCCCACACACACTTCGGGAGCAAAGCTGGTATGGTTCTACTGTATGGGGGTGTCAGACAGGATACAGAAATATGGTGCATGGAGTTCAATCCACATCCCCATGTGCGAGGTTTTGAGTAGGTGTGTGCTGTGGGAGTGGTAAGGGACTGTCCAACAGGTCTGTAACTACTTGGATCTGCCGACTCAACCCCCCCTGCGTACTGCGGAGAGAGGGCACAGCAGCTGCAGGTATTACTACAACCAACCGGCTGCAGTCGTGGCTGTGGAGCTCCGATGTGATCTCAGTCCGTGGGCGTGATTCTGTTCCTTGACCCCTACTGAATTCCCTGTGCAAAGGCTGTTTGCTTGGGCTTTGCCTCCAGGTGAGAGGATTCAGATCTATGTAATGAAAAGTTACAAGTTAACTTGTTGCCACGAATACAGTTTTGTGCTAACCGTACTAGCATCTTCCTACCAATTAAAGGCTTATACAGTAACCAATAGAAAAGCAGGAATTAATTCTCTATATTGTTAGTTTAAAACACTAAGTCTTCTCTAATAATTTTAAAAACTCATTAAGGCTGAAACTCACACAGAAGTAAGTTCTTACACAGAGCCCTCATTAAGGCAGGCACAGAAATATACACCCACAAGCTGGTCAGTTAGTGCTAGAACCTGGTGAAGTATGGACCTCCTAGAGACAAGGCAGGGGCATCCAGGGGTCGCCAAATCACTTATCTTCTTCAAAGGGGTACAAGAGTCTTAGGGCTTAGTTCTACAGTGACTCCTCCTAACCATCTAGCTGAGAGCTGCTATCTGAAAGGCACTCTCTATCCCCCATTGTACTTGGCCAAACCTGGACCAGAAATGGTGGAAACAGTCACTACTTACCTACACTGGCAGGTAGCAGTCATCTGGGAGGCAAATCAGTTTATCCCAGGAGGGGGCTCTTAGCTTGAACATCTTGGTAAGCTCAACTGTCCTAGTGTCACATCAGGAGAGAGCCAGGATCAAAACAACTTAGAGCTTTTAGGTCCAAACCAACATCTTAAACTACACCCAGGAATCAACTGGCAGCCAGTACAGCCTATTGCGTGTTGGTGCTCCCTGTGTACAAAATTACTTAGCAATCAGGCTGCTGCATTCTAAGAATAAAGTGTGGAGGTAGCTGCAAGGACACGTCAGTTGTCTGGGGAAGGTTCTTGGTGAAGCCGAGCGACAAAGTGGTTTTAGAGATGCTGTTCTTTTCTTTACTCTAGTAAAGTTCCTTGTTAAGTGTTAGAAGAAAGTGACTCACTTTTGGTAATTCCTTATCATTGTCACATGACAGTAACCCCATGTAGAGTATATTGCCAAATATTTCATCTCACGGTAACTAAGGTGTGTATAATTGTGGTAAGGTCTGCATCCAAAAGAAAAGACTATATGATTAGGAGGTTACCTCTAGCTCATGGTCATCCGTAGTGTATGATATATATTGAGTAACGTTAGGGTTTACATAAAGGAAAGGGGGGCATGGATCAACATTCATGTCGCACTCCCTGTAAGTACGCGGCCCGGGGAAACTAATGATCCAACCAGTGGACCAAATTCGGTGTGGAATCCTGGTCATGTGCCACCTGAGGCATGTTGTGCATATGCTAAGAAGAAAGAAAGGAAACAGGAGCAGGAAAGAATTAATATGTGTTAATAAGCAGGTTCCCTGTTGCTATTTCCCTATTCAGCATATGCATGGTTTGAGGGCATTGCGGCCCCCCACCCCCAGCTGCAGGGTATGTGTTGAGAAGTGGTCTGCATGTTTGTGGCAGGATTGGGGGAGGGGGAAGGGACAACACAGAGAGGAAAGGAGAACTTCTGATTTGCTGCAGCCTGTGTTGTGACAAACGGGGTGACATATTGCTGCCTCACCACATGGTCCCAGTTCATTGTGCAGCAGCTCATGCTCCATATCACTGCAAAAAAAACCCCAAAACCAGTCCCCTCCACCCCCACTGTATGTACGCCTCAACTAAGCAACCATGCATTGTATATTGTATATTCTTCCAAGCCTCTCACTTTTCTGGTGTATGTTATCCTTACCTGCCTGTCAAGTCCATCATTTAGGCCCCTATCCTGCAACCACTTACAGTTATGCTTACCCTTCCACATGGGAGTGGTAAAATTGACTTCACTGGAACTAGTCATATGCTGAAAGTTAAGCATAGATATCAGCATCTGTGACTGCAAACATCCTCAATCTACA